TTCCAGCGAGCCTGCACTTACTCGCTATTAAAGGGCTAGACAGTCCACGCGCCCTACCCATTACATGGTTTGGGATGGTACCTCATGTGGCGGACCCTCTGCGGGAGCGCGCAAATGGAGGGTTAGTGCTCAGGGTTAGTGTTTAGGGTTCGGTTTGGGCCTAAGATAGAAACTGCATCACACTCAGCCTTATTACAAAATTCAAAGCAAAAATAACCCAATTTATGAAACTCAAAAATAAGGACATGCAGGAATTTATCCCAGAAGTTACTCTGGATTGCCAATAACTGTTTTGGAAAATAGAGCCGAGTTGTGTTTGGAGGTTTAATAGAGCATATTTGGAGGTTAACCAATCAGGCTGGGATTGTTTAACCTCTCTCAAAGGGACAGTATTAACCAGTAAATAAGATAAAAAATAAATCTCACAGTATAAAAGGCTAAATTAAAAAAAAGAGAAAGTGTAAACAGCTGTTCCAGTTCAGCTCTACTCTTCACTAAACAAAACACATCTGTCCTCATGTTTTTAATGAGGTCTTAGATCACAACAAACTTCTTTAACACAGCGACTCATAGTCACCAGAGGAGACTTATAATTAGCACAAAGCCTGGATTTATCTGCTAGCATCAAACTTCATTCCTGTTAATAAATGGGCCAAACGAACTGAAAGAGTTCAGATTATGGTGTGGGAACAGATTCTGGCACAATACTGGCTGGTTAATTAGCAGAGCTTACACTCTGCAGCATGATTCAACTTCTGTTGGAAGCGCTCTCTGTTTTTCTTTCCTTTCTTTTTTTCCATTCCCATTGGATTTGACCATTTTTGACCAAATCTCGAGGCAGACAAAAAGCTAATTAAGTAATAATATTAACAGGAGAGCATTCCTTAAAATAGAACTGCTGGCTTCAAAGCATCCAACATATGATTTACAGTTCCTTGCAGAAGTATTCAGACCTCAGTCCTTTCCAGTTCTCATTTTACAACAAAAAACTCTTTATTGTGCCCAAGAAACTAGAAAATACATAGTTTAAAGCTGAAATAAATGTTTCCTGTTTTTTCCCCTAACAATTTGAGCATTGTAGCAGATATGCCTCCAGCCCTTTGAAGCTGATATATTGTGGAACCAAGTTTTTTGGCTTTATGTCAACTGACTTAAAGAGGATTTTTTTATTTTTTTTTATTTGCTCAATCTCAGTCAGATTCAACAGTATTCCAGATCTCATTTTATTACAACTTCCCAATGTGCTTTAAATCTAAACTGCTCCACTGGAGGTCTGAGTTTAGTGTTTCTGTTCAGTTGGAAGGTGAATAATCTGTGCCTCGGTTGCAAGTCATCTGCAACCTCTATCAAGCTACCTTCTAGACTTCATTCATCTTCATATAAGTTCCAAACACACTGTATCTTTTGAAGTTAAACGCCTCCAAACACAACGGAGCCACCACCATGCTTTATATAAGGGATGATGTGTTCAGCTATGAGGTCATAGTTTTTTCACCAAACAATTGGTTTTGCATGTTGGGAGAAAAAGGTCGACTTTGGTCTAATTTGTTCAGAACCTCTTATTCCTCCTGTTTCCAGTGTAGCACATAGGAGTTCTTATGCCTCAGTGACCTGCCTCCTGGGGGCAGCTGTTTCTCAGAGCAAGCAGTGGTGCTGGGCAAAACACTTTACCTTCTAAAACAAATTCAAAACCACCACAACCTTATTTTTCTTCTGCTTGAATTATGAGCCCCCCTCCACCCCCAAGAGTGTGGTGCAGGTTGCCAAGTCAACAGAGAAGAGTATTCAGTCAACTGTAGATGACAAGTGAAGGCGATTCAGCCTCACCAAGTTGAAGGATGCCGAGGCTTCTTAGGAATGTTTTAGACCATTTCTGGTCCGCTTGTTTTGCTGGCAGACATGCTTCCAGGCTTCTGCTCTTTTTGCCGATTCATTAAGGCAACCCTGGGCGCACTCATATAATTGGCTTAGCAACCAGGAAGTAAACATGGGCTAACACACCTCATCGGAGTAGTTCTGGACCGTATCTACAGGTTTGAAAGGACAGGAACTTAATTTAGACATTGTTGGAGAGGACTGATCGTTTATATGAAGTGTTTCTTCCTTCCTGGTTGACAATGAAAATCATTTTGGTAAATTTTACAGTAAATCTCTTAACTATTTTTTGTTTATTTGTTGCAAAAAAATGTGAGTGAAAAGTTCAAGGGGTATAAATATTTTTATATGGTACCTCAAATTAAAAACTTTGCATCAAAATTCCCCATAATCCGCATTTGGTTTTTGAAAAACAAGTTTTTCTTACAATAGCTCTTAAATCCAATGAAGCAGTAATTCAAAATGAGCTAAAGTCTATTTTTTTCCTTTCAGAAAGGGGATGTGGTTGAGTGCCAGATAGACCAGCTTGGCTCCATCATTAACAAGGTGATATAAACCAGCAGGAAACCAAGAAGATCCATCAACAGTTTCATATACTACCATTACCCCCCCCAACTCAAATAAACAAATACCTATCACAATGAGTTTATTGAACCTTCTGTTTCCATATATTTTATGCTACGGAGAGGGAAAATCTGATATTTTTACTATTATATAAAACTATGTATTTAGCGTCTCAACCCACTGACTCAACATCTGTTAAAGTATCCATCAGTTGCCTCCTACTCATGATGTACAGCAAAAACTGGAAACCTCTCGGCTAACTCAGAGAAAACTATGGTTTGCATATATAGATGACTTATGTGAAAACTTCCCTAAAAAAAGGAAGATTGCACAAAGTATAATACAATATAAAAATGCATTTTACCTAAAGGAATATCCTAATCAATATTAAGAATTTTCTCTCTGCTGGTTTAATTTCCCTTCAGCTCAAATCACAGAAGCCCTCTTTAATTACCACCCAAAGACAGCTTCGGGGAAACTCCAGTAATAAATGTCTTTGGATGTTTTTTTGTTTTTTAGGAGGAACATCTGACTGAAGACACATTTGGTATAAGAATAATTAGATCTCATGTTTTCATATGATAAAGTCATGGCTATCAAATAAACATAAAATTAAGACATATCAAAGGAAACTGAAGAGCAGATAGATTGGTACAAACAATACATTTATGAACATAATTGTTTCCACTGGTGTAAAACCTTTAAATATTGCCTTTTTATAACTGCAGATTAAACATTTATGGTTTATTTCGGATTTCTTTTTTCTATCAGCTCTTGCTGCTTTCATACCATTATTAATAATTGGTTTTATTATCTTTGGCTTTGAGCAGCTCTTCCAGTTCTTTTATAGTGGTTTAAACAGGGAAAAGAAAAGTTCTTCCAACAATTTCTTTTTGTACTCTTAGCTGAAATATTAAGATATTTCTTCCATTTTAAAACTATCAACTTTCATTTCTAGAACTATGGAGACTATAGTGATGGTCAGACCTTTTAGCAGAGATAAAATTTAGTTTTTGTGGTTCTTAATTTTGCTTCTCAGCAAAAAGGCTATCAGCTTGATGACCAATAAGTCTATTTAAACAATATTTAAACTAGTGAAGCAATGTGTGCAAATAAGCTGGACAAAGTGTTTCCTTATATTAGCATTATAACTTGGAACTAACACGTCTCAAATTATCTGAAAAACGGAGAACATCACTGTGGGAGGCACAATAATAGTGTAGAGGGGTTTAAGATGTGCAAGAGTGTCTTCCAGGAGCAACTCCTCATCAGGAACTAGTTGTGTTTTCACCAGGACCATTCAGCAGGTTGGTGTGAAACTTTCAGGCAACATCTTTGTAACAAGAAAGGTAGAAAACAATTACTTTGGTGGAAGAAAAAAAGTCCAAGATTGATTGAAATAGGTTAAATGATAAACAGCACAGAATTTGCAAAATTACTGTTTAACATTCAGCATTTGAAAAAGGAAAGGCGAGCTCTACCATAAGCCCTTTGTACTGCCAACAGTGAAACAATTTGTTGACCAGCGTATATATCATCATAATCACAGAATAACTGGGGTAAATAAGTGGCAAAACATAAGATTTCCATTTTGGATCGGTGGTTTTTGAAGGGCATAGAGTGCATCACATCTCTCACAGGGGAGTTGGTCCTGGAAGTTCCTGGAGACTCCTGCACATCTTAAAACCCACTGTCCACTGGAGATGAGATACAAACAGCTGTGTTTGGAGCCCCACCTCAAACCACCTCATCTCCTTCAAACTCTCATGGCCTTAGGATCACAATATACGGCACTCTTTGAAGCTTATATACACACAACTTTCCATTAATATGCTAACATGTATAAGAATAGTAATTATGCTGTACTTGCTAAGCGATTTATCAAGTCGGAGAACCCCAAAGCGCTTTACCCTACCTTCAGTCATTTATCCATTAACCATACACACAGTTCCATCAGGCCATTTGACCACCAACAACAGGCAAGGCGGCTGACCTGTTCTGCCTTAGGACACAATGACTAGGACGGATTTAGGAAAAACCCTTTGAACTGTCGCCACCATTGTTGTTGCTGCCAGTATCTATGTGGGTGAGTGAGGGACTGTAAGACAAGTCTTTAAATAGCTCCTTGCCTTAATCTGTAAATACAATCTGCAAAAGAGGCCCTTTAAAAAGCAGCATCTACTCTTAGCAAAACTTGACTCTAGCTGTAGTTAGATGTGTTTTCGATACTCAGATCTGGCACTGGGTGGCAGTGAAGTCGCACAATCACTAAGACTTTGTTCCTGATTTAAGAGCGGAACAACATTTGCACTACCTCTGGACTGTAAAAATAGTCAGCTATACACAGTGAACATTAAAGGCTGCCAGATAAAACTCCAATCAGAGCGATGGATCGATCAGTCTCCCCATCCTGATGTCCAGAGTTCTGAGTCAGCATGAAGGTATCTAGATTCATGGGAGAGATCCCCAGAAAGAAAATGACTTGTTCAGAAATATCTGATATGCCCCCTCGATGAGTTCAGCCAGCTTTTGCATGACTTGAATTTGGGATGAACCAAGAACTAGTGTTTATTCACAGTTTGAAAATTATCAGAAAAAACATTTTATAAACAAGAAACAAAACTTCAACAGTTTCAATAACAGAATAAACATGTTTGAAGTTACTTTTTGGAACATCTCTATTGCAGCTGATGACAGGAGCTTTGTAATCCTCTCCTACAGCAAAAAAAAAAACTTAAAAGAATAAAATACGAAATGCAATTAAACCAAAGATACATTCTCTTAAACTCAAAGTGTGCCTTTTTTTAACAGAACAAAGGCTTTTCGTGACACGAACAAAGAGTGAGGTCAAATTTCTGCAGCAGAACAAAGCGAAGACAAGGCCTTGAGTCATTCTGCACACTTAACAACATTAATTGTAGAGGTACTGTGAGATGAAGCACTGCAGCTTCTGCCTGTTCTCTGACAACTGGAACAAAGGACTAACACCAAGGAAGATGCCTCCTGTCTCACGCATCTGCAGAAGGACCTGGAGAAAGAAAAAACAAAAACAATGAACATAAATATAATAATAAAGAGCACTCCATATGCACTGCTTCAATGCTCTGCAGCTTTTGTTTTAACAGTAGAGGAGCTCTCCCTTTATCCCCCTCATCCTCACTGCATCCTGCACAGGGCTTTATTAAACAAAAATGATAAAAGCTAATAACGGAAAACAAATGAGAGGTGTTAAATAAAATTAGCAAAATAAATTTTGAGCAAGATCTAAAATAATGAGGCTAAAAGAGAGGGAGACATTTCTGGTTTTGTCCTTTAAACACCAGAGATGCAGCAGAAGACGTCTGACAGTAAAGACAAGGGTGACTGATAACCTCAATATTAAACTGAATAGTTGCCACGAGGGATCTTTCCAGATATATGGGTCAATGACGCTCTATTTTTTAAAGATGGAGCTTCCGAAGTAACAGTTGAGACACTGATTCAGAGAGACTGACTGCTTGAAGGGAAACCTGTGACATGTACAGATTTATATTTTCACACTTAAAAAGTCTGCCTGTCGTAAATGGGAGTTTTAATTCTTTAGGTTTCAGTGTTAAAGATGATGCAGATTAGTCAGCCTGGGATTTGGATTTCTCATCTTTATGTGCCGTTTTTAAAGTCTAAGCAGACAGGGACGGCAGATGCTCTTGTTCTCATCAGCAAAAGGAAAAAAAGAAAAAAGAAAAAACAAATCAAAACATTTTCTCTTCTCCATCTTGAACTAGATGAGAAAACAACTTATAGAGCCTTTGAAAGCTGCTGCCTGATAATCCCTCACAACAAACATGCATAGTTTATCTGGGCCAATCAAAGTTCAGCTTAGTACTTTTTTTTTCTTTACATCAACATATCTCACTACCCACAGGAGAAGTGCCACTAGAGAAGTCCCTTAAAAATAGCTCATCTTACTTGTTTAACCTCAGTCAAGTATGCAGATTTTTTCCTTTGGTAAAATCAGCAATAACTCTTGGTAAAGTAAATGCCTTCATAACTAGAGCGAGACTCATCCGTCTTTATTTAGGAAAGCTATTTGCAAATCATATCACTAAAACCAAAAAGGTGTATAAATCCTGAAATCTTCTTTTTTGGAATTAGTCTTATAGGTTTAATCTGCTGAAACCGGTCGAGATTTGGCAGAGGTTGATGGGAGGGGAGTTAATGCAGTGGGAGAGGGTGGGAATGGTCAGAAATCCAGCAGGACTGGCAACTTGCCGATTCCAAGTCCAGGTTGAGAAGCATTCCTCTTATCTTTACGGCTTTCCTTTGGAAACATTCAACACTCCTAGGATGATGCTAACACTTAAGCTGCTCTCAGAACCAGTTTCAATATACTGTAATTGTTGCTTGGTTTTATGTCTTCTTTTTATTGTTTATGGCTGTTTTTAATGCATTGCTTACATTCTGTGTACGAATAAGTTCTAGTGATCACAATCACCTTTTTGGAACTTATTGGAGGTAACAAATAAGCTTGTTTTTTTTTTGCCAGAGTAACAAAACCTGGATCACACAGTCTGAAAACATTAAACAACAGCTTCTTGGACCAAACACCTAAAGCTGGGACATTTCTTCAACATTCGGACTTCATTATCTCAAAGTCTCAGTTAGCCTCTGAGGTGCACCTATCCCAGAACAGCTCATTGGACAATACTGAGAAGGAGTCAGACACCATGAATGTGTTCAAGACGCCACTTATATGTTCAAGCAACAACCATCAGAACCTGATGACAACAGTTACATCTCAATGCAAGTTTTTATTGTGGCCTTTTAGAAATCTTCTGCAGGGAGTCTCAAAATGTTGCTACAGAGATGGAGCTGAAAATGGATGATCTTACAGCACAAGGTACCCATCACTATGTTACCTCAGTGTGATTATGAGGAACCCCCCCCCCAAAAAATCCATTATTTGCTTTGACTAATTTGTCATATTCAAAGCCCCTCAAAACTTTTAATGTGCGGTTAAACAGATCCAAGGATTTTAGAAACGCTAAAGAAGATACAAAACCTGCCAGAGCAGGTCAGGGTCACCGGCTCTGTCCTCGTCTTGTGTCTCATATTTATTCAGCAGGTCTGAAAGCCTTGGTTTGTCATAACATAGCCTGGTGCAGCCAGACTGAAGTGCACTCCCTGTTATTCAGTCTTGTAAACCACTGGTGACCAATCACAGCCCTGGAGGCAGAACTTTATGATGTGTCACTCTCAGCACCTTACTGCTTTTCAGTTAGCATGATGCGGCCAAGGGAAGCAATGTTTTAATGAACCCTTTCTAATGCTCTAAGTGACATGAGCAAACATTAAGACTTCAACAAAGGATAGCTTTGGTGTAATTTCTTTTTAAAATATTTTTTTTTTATTTTAAAATTTTCAGACTACAAAATTACCAAAACAGCTCATCCTGTTCATAGTTATCTGATTGGTTCCAGTCTCATGACGCTGACACTTTTAGTCCCACCTTTGGAATCAATGGCATAACGACACAACAATAGGCCCATAAGCAACATTATCTGAGTTGGCCCCATATGAAGTAAAACACGTGATACAGGTTCAGGACATGGTGACAGTTCCATAAATCGGCCAAGATACAATTAAGCAATTCTCAGTAGTATATGATAACACATCACACACGGAAAAATAGTGACTGCGCTCCTTGAATGGAATCATTGGTGACAGCGCAACAGCACATGTTAGAGACATCCCAAGTTCCAAAAACTAATTTCAGGGAGATGCTTATCGAACCATATTATATGAGTGTATTTTCTACCAACCGTCTAATGAACTATACACAGTTATTAACATAGTAATTAAAAGTACCACTGTCTGCTTTGCTATTCGTGTTTAAACAGCTCACCATAATGTTGAAATCTGGCATATGTTGCGGTATAAATACAGTCCGGTGTGGTCAGTCAGGTGGGTATAAGAAGAATTTTTCGCACCATTACATCTGCAAAAAGACCTCCTAGTCTACAATTGCGTAGGGGACCCACCAGGTGTCAGTGACAGGGCCCCTAAGAGGTTGTGGGCCAATAAGCAACTGCTGCCTCTGCTTAACGATATTTACACCATTGTTTGAAATGAGCTCTACCAGCTCTTAACCAGACTTTGCACTGTATATACGTCGTATCAGTCTGGCTAGCTAGGCTAGTCATAACGGGCCTCTTTAAGATAACTCCCTGCTTTTGAGTTCTCTACCTGACGTCTCTTTCTAACTATCCTCAACCTTCACAGGACCTTTAGCATAGCTGAAACACAGAAGTTACACTGCTCTGGAAATACATTAATTGTGGCTATGTGAGTTGACCAGGATTTATTTAAGGCAACACCAACTTTGCAGTACTTAAAACCCAACATTGATTAAGACCAAAACATATGGGCCAGTTTTTAGACACAATTTAGACTTCTGCTTTCCAAAGAGTAAAGTAGATATGCAAAGAGTTTCTCTTTTAATCTACGAAGGTCAAGGTTTTACACATTTCTAACATCAGAATCAAAAATTGCTTTTGATATAAAAATATTCCCAGGAACACTTGGTTATTATTCTGCCTTTTTAAATCTACATTTAGACTAAATATGCAGGGGATAAAGGAGCAACTTGCCTTTTTCTACATTTTTTTCCGTTAGTTGTTATTATAGTATTCGATCAAAAACTACACACTGATTATATTCTGGGATTGGATTATCACATGAATGACAAGTAGGGGTGTAAATAATAATCGTTTTGTATCGATGCATCGATCCAAAAGCCGACGATCCGATGCATCGACACGTCCGCAAGATAATCGAATCATGTTTTTTTTTTTCCTCCGGTCTTTTATCCATTTGCTCCTGGGAGTAATTCTCCCTCCCGTGCTGTGGTGACGCTAAACCTATTTTGCCCTCCTACCTCGCTTCTTGGTTATACTCTTACAGCAGTGTGTTTCAGTAAGCTTGACACAGACATTTTTAAATTATGCTCAATATGGAAGCGTGGTCTGTGCTACACACTGTGGGTCTAGATACGGCCGAGGTGGCGAGGAGGTGGGGGCGAGTTTAGTCCGACGACAGAGGGACATGAGGGCCAAAAAGAGCATAGATCCAGGTGGAAAAAGGGTCCCAGCGTTCTCGTGCACCTCGCTCTTCTAGCGGGTCAAACTTCACGAGTTGTTTTCCGCAATTTCGGTCATAAAAACAAAACAAGCTGGCCTCCTGTCTGCGGCACTGTTTGCGGTCAGCTACAATTTGGGAGAGGAGCAGCGGAGCGTCTCTCAAGGGGGCGGTGACGTCTGGGGCAGAGGTATTGAATTGCACTCATTGCACTGATTTTGTGCAGTATTTTTGCAGTATTTTTTGATGCAAGTTTTCTACTTCTGTTATTTGCTGTTGTAAAAAAAAAAAAAAAAAAATGCATAACGATATTACAGCTTTTATTGATTTATTTCAAGCATGAAACTTTGTTTAGCCTGTAAGGTCTAAAAAAATTAATCGTTTAATCGAATCGTGGTGCATTCTTGAGTATCGAAAATAATCGAATCGTTGGGTCAGGAAATCGATACTGAATCGAATCGCCATGATGGGTGTGATTTACACCCCTAATGACAAGTCTGCACAATAGTAAGAAAGTATCTATATAATAGGTTTAGCTCAGGGTATTCAATTGATGAGCTATAAACCAGTTTAAACCTTTGGGGCTGAATCAGAGCTAGTTCTTGTTCAGTGTAAAACTAGAGTAAAAATGATAACTATCAAAAGGTGTTGCAGTGGATTAGGAGGGAAATGTGTAACATTAATTAACAAATCTGATACAAACCTGTTTTTTATGTATTCAGTTTCCTAAATGTAAGTAAATCGAAACCATAAAATGTGGTTTCATTGTCATCATTTTCTCAGCTGAAACCCATATTTGTGCAGAATCACATTGATTTCTATTGCTGGCCGAGTGAATATGCAATCAGATTGAGATTTTTGTGTACAGCACTGGACATGGACAGTTAGTTTAAAACTATGTCAAATACGGTCCATACTAATCTAGACTCCTAGTGCTAAAATTTGTCTAGTTAATAGTTAAAGTTTAGGATTGTATTTCATTTCATCTATGCACAGTTTGTAGGATTCCCTGAAGCACATTGCACTCTCATTCCTCGGTAGTTAATACATAATTAAAACTGTGCCTTTTTTTGTCTTCTCTTTACATTAAATCAAACATTATACTGCTTGTCAGAAGCTAAATTATCTACGGAAAACTGTGGATTTGATAAAACAGTAGTATATGATAACACATCACACAAGGAAAAATAGCATAGAATCGAGAAGGACCAGTCTGCAGAGACAATAGCGCTAACGTCCAGCCTAAAACTTCAGTTTCAGACGTTTCTTCTTTGTGCCATTTATTCCTTATTCAGAGTGACTCTGAATAAGAAAACTGTGTGCACAGTGACTGAGAGAAAGTATCATCCAATGAGTTTGGTGGTGAAATAATGCTCAGTATGTTTCTCTGTTTGATATTTCCTAATGCCAACATTAAAAAACCTTGTTGCATACAAAGGCGTTCCAATAGAATCATGGTGCCATGTGCTTATTATATTTTATTTCTATTTTTTATACTTTCTTTTTGTTACATTTGTTTGTCAACTTAAGTGCTTTGTTATTTACCATACCAGAAAAATATGATAGAAAGTACCATATTACACATGCTAGCGAGAAGTAAACATGCAAGTAATTGGGAAAAACAAATCAGCATTTGGAAAGAAGGAAGTCTTCGATTAAGTGCAAAATAAATATACGTGTGAGTTTATATCATAACAGTTTACATACTTTTTCAAACTTATAAAACTTAGTAGAAACCTTGAATATAAAAGAAAGAAACTCATCAGGAGAGCACAACAATTATATTTCAAACTTTGAAAACACCTCACAATAATTTTAAGGATTTCTACACCGATACACCAACCCAGTCTGTGGACAGAACAGCAGCAAGCATGAGTAACTGGACGGCTGAGCTACACCTGAAGCTTCAGCACCGAGCGGAGCTGTAATTCTCAGCAGACCGATTTAGAGAGACACACACACACAGACGCAGGCTGTCACTCACCCCGAGGTCTATTAGTGTTCTAACTGCAGTGCGCGCCGCCTCCTCTGAGCAGCTCTCTGTGAGATACAGCACAAAGGCACACATGAATCAAAAGAACAGGCACATATCCAATATAGAAAATGAGGTCGGGAAAACAGAACAAAGCCTCTACCAGTGGGACTGTAATTTTTATACTATGTATTATTGAGGGCTGCCATTTGGGTAGGTTCTCCCCATCTTGTGTGTTATTTCTGTAATATGAGAGCTTTGAGGGTCAGTGTGGGAGCTGCAGCAGCCTCCCTCTCTGGCCTCAGCAGATTTTGCTTAGAACACGGTGAATCAGTAGGAAAAGGCGAGGTGACAAGCATTTACAGTTATGAAACAAAGAAACAGAGGATCTCAGTGCGGGTGTGTGTTTGTTGGAAATGAATGTCAGGTTGGGCTCACCATAGTGCTGTTTCTTCTGATTTGCTGTTTCACAGAGATTAGAGTGCATCAGAGACAGAAATTCTTCCTCTGTAGTGGGAAAGATACAGAGGAAAAATAAAGGCATTTCTCCAGCAAGGCAAGTTTCTGACAGTTCTCAGAGATCATAGATATGGGCTCTTTATGCTTCAGCAATGTACTATAACATATAAGAAATTTATGGATGGTCACCATAGAAGATAAAGGTCGTAAAATAAGTATCTGGGGGCATAAATATTACTTTCAGCCCTGCAGCTATTTCAGTGCTTTGATTTAAAATTCATCATCAAGTTCAAACCTTTTATTTTTAATCTAAAATCATACAGTTAAATGTAACAATTTTAAACCAAACCATCAAAAATCCAAGGTAATTAGTGAAGGAATGTGACCATCTTTAGATCTAGACTTTCTCTACCTGCCAGAGGGGAGTCTATCCGGTCCAATGCCGAGGTGGTCCAGCACAATGCCCTTAAATGTCCTGCTAACATTCTGCAGAGGAAGAAGAGCATTTCTGGACACTGCTTGGGCTGGCTTATCTAGAAAAGTAGACATGTGGGAGGAAAAAAAAGAAAATTTTCAACTCCAAAATTAATTTCCTTAATGAATTTAATTAGTAAACTGCATGTTGAATATAAATATAATATTGCTAAAATGTAAGCTGTATAAACGACTATTTCCAACCTGCTACCTGTGAATTTCTGACCATTAAATCTCACTATTTCACTCCTAGCAGCACCTACAATACCTGCAACCAATCCCACCTGCATTCACCACTTCAACTAATGCACTTCAGCATTCAATAAATATGTATCGACCAAATGTTTTATTGCAAGAGATACAAAAAATTGATACTTTCAATCACAAATTACCATGCAAACTAAAAATTTCGTTCAGTTCAGCTCTCAAGACATTCATTTTCTAAAGTGCAGCAGTGATAAAAGGTAAGCAGCAGTGATAAATGTAAACATACGACTGTATATTAGTTACAGTTTCCAAAATTCAGGTTTGTTTTTTATGCATTTATTTTTTTTATCACCCCATTTTATACAACATTCAGCAGCCTAATGGCAGTGGGGAAGAAACTGTTCTGAAATCTGCTGCACCTGCATCGGATGCTTTGAAGCCTCTTCCTAGAGGGAAGCAGGGAGAACAGTCCATGGTGGGGGTGTGATGGGTCATTTATAATGTTACGGGCTCGGGACAGCAGCGTTGGGATGAAATATCTTTAATGGAGGGAAGAGGAGCCCCGATGTTCCTCTCTGCTGCTCTCAACACTCTTCTCACCTTCTTCCAGTCTTCCAGTCCTGGCATCATAACTGGATGCCCTCTCAAGATAAATCATCTGTTCATTGCTAAAGAAAAGTCATAAGACCCAACCACCCTCATCTCAATGTCCCAAGAATTTTCATGGTTTCCAAGGTTCTTCAGTTCTATCATTGTACTAAACTGTTCTGTTACTCAGGTGTAACAAAGACTCTGGCAGTGGTACAGTCTGGGTTTTGGTGGCCTACTCTGAGAAAGGACACACCTCAGTCTTTCTGACTGCATGTTTCACCTGCTCAAGAGTTAAGTTCTCCCATCGTCCTCCAGCAGTTCTTCTGAGGTCTCTGCCTATTCCTCATCGGCCATGGTCCCATATCTCCATGGATTTTGTGATGGGCTACCTTCATCCCGAGGTAACACTGTTCTCCTAACTGTGGTGGATAGGTTCTCCAAAATGACCCATCTCATACCTCTTCGCAAGTTGCCTTCTGCCTCATATCTTGCAGATGTAATGGCCCAAGAAGTGTTCAGGCTCCATGGAATTCCCCATTCTTGGCATTGACATCAGTCTGTCATCAGCTTTTCAACCACAGACTGATGGCCAGACTGAGATATTCAATCAAGAGGTTGAGTCAAAGCTGCGCACCCTTTGCATAGATGATCCAGGTCAGTAGTCCCAGAACCTACCTTGGGTGGAGTACATCCTCAGTGGGTTACCGTCTAGTGCTACAGGTCTGTTGCCAGCCGTCGTCTATTGTTATCACCCTCCAGTTCTCTCAAAAACCGGATAGCCCGACTCAAGTTCCTGCTGCCCATTTATGTGCTTGTTGCTGTCTAAGTACTTTGAGAAAGGCAGAAGCAGCTCTCTGCAAAACCACAACTATGTATGCCCACAATGCTAATCGCCACCGCTCACAGACCCCAAGATATGTAGTGGGACAGACGGTGTGGTTATCGGCTCATGTCATGATTTTAGTCCTGCCCTGTTTGTGCTCACTCTCCCTGTCCTGATGAGCACTGATTGTCCCCACCTGGGCGGCTCTCTATTTAAGCTCATCCCCTCCCCCTGTTCTGTGCGAGATTGTCTGCCTTTCACAGGTTTCAAGCCCTGCTTCAAGAGCCAAGAATTACTCTACCTGTCTTTGACCACTGCCTATTCCCTGACCGTATCCTTGAGTTGTATTTTTTTTTCTTGATGCTGAACCTTGTCAAACTCTGAAGCTGATTAAACCCATGAGTTCTTTTAGAATTTTCTGCCTGAGTAATCTTCTGTGCATGACCCTAAAATGGAAAAAGATTTCTAACTGATGGCTTGTGGATGACTGTATCTCTGCTCTCTGTAACCCCAACCTATTTCCACCTATCACAGCTGGAAGGAATACTTTAAGGATCTCCTCAATCCAGGTGGATGAGATCCAGCCTGAGTACCTTAGAGTTCTGGCTGTTGTTAGATTGTCGTGGCTGATGCATCTTCAATATTGCATGGAGGTCGGGGACAGTACTCATAGACTGGCAGTCTGAGGTGGTGGTTCCCATGTATAAAAAGGGGTGAAAGGAGGGTGCATTCCAACTAACGAGATTTTAAACTTCTCATCCTCCCAGGTAGGCCTATGCCAGGGTCCTGTAGAGGAGACTCTGGCCGATTGTCTAACCCGGCTCCTGGAGCAGTCTGGTCATATCCTGGCGGTGGAACAGTGGACAATCTCTGCAGGGTCCTTGAAGGTGCTTGGGAAGTTGCCCAAACTGCCCACATGTGTTTTGTGGACCTGGAGGAGGGATTCAACCATGTCCGTCGTGGTTCCCTGTGGGGGGGCACTTCAGAGGTCACTGAGTCAATGGCCCTTTACTAGGGGATATCCAGTCTCTGATAGCAGGGCTGGAGTTTGGTCTGCATTGCCAGTGTTAAGTTGGACTCTGCCTGATGCATGTTGGACTCTGACAGGACTGCCCTCTGTCATCTGTCCTGTTAATAACCTTTATGGACAGGATTCCCAGGCGCAGCCAAGGGCCAGAGGGGCTCTGGTTTGTGAACCAGGGGATCTTGTCTTTTTTTTATATCGATGTAAACTTTTAAACTCCAATAAAAAACAAATGACAAAATTATTGCTAAACAAAAGCTGTAGCTAAGGAGCTGTTCTATACTAATGCAGTATTTATGCTGCTTTTTAGTTTGTTTTCTATAAAGCCTATTCTACTTAAACAGCTTATATGAGGGTTTCCATTGATATTTTATGGAGTACTACAGAAACATTGTATTGTTGCAGATCATGTCCATATATGAATGATTACAGAGCAACAATCTTCCGCTTCCAGCAGGATAATGCACTGTCACCAAGCTCAAGTCTTCTTAAAACTAACACATTCATTGTATTCAAACAGGGTCAAAAAGCACCATATCTCAACTCAAAACAGCATCTTCAGGATGTGGTAGAAAGTGTTTCTCCTCATGGATGTACAGTGAATAGATTGGTTACTGTCCATGATGCCAATATGTCGATGTATATCAACATCTTTATTTAAGATACCTCACTGAATGCTGCGATTAAAGAACTAAAGCAGTTATAAAGACAAAAGATGGTCGGTTATAGCTAAATTAAGTGATTAACTGACTGGAATTTGCATACCTCTTTGGTCCAAAAATGCCTCTAAGCTATTTATGTTGTACACGTACTCTGATTCCATCAAGGGATGGATGGTGAAATACTGTTATTGAAGGATTAACTGAAGTCCCAGTTTGTTTTTTAAGTACTTCACACATCTGCTCTTATGTTCACATTTAGTACCTTAAGGTTCTGATTTAAAATATCTGTTTTCTCTTACTTTTATTATCTGATAAATCTTAATAGGTTAGGTTTTAGTCTGTCAGTTTTATGGTTGCAACTTTCAAAGAGAACATGATATTGTGATATACTCATTTTATTACCGAATCCTGTGATTAGGATGATGAATTATATTATCTGCATTGTTCTTCCCATCTTTTCTTTTTTAATATAAAAATGAGTTATATATATATATATACAGTGCTGCTTGAAAGTTTGTGAACTAGTTGAGTAGTTTAGATTTTTCTTTATTTTT